AAAAAAAAAGAGTGTGAGAAAGAGGAAGGGAAACACATCATATATCTGTATGAAAATAGCCTTATGTAACCTCATATAATACATCTTTTTAAAGCATGGATGTCAGATTCCCACTAAGACTATTAAAGTTGGAACCTGTGGGTTTGAGCTCCAGATGTGAGTATGTGTGTGATTCCCTGGATGGTTCTAAGGTATTCTAATTGAGAACTCTTTTTTTGGGGGGGGGGCGGGGGAGGTTGAGGCAGGGGAGTGCTGTTTAGTCTTGATGCACATTGGGATTACTGGGAACCTGAGTGCCACATCAGGAGAGTCTAATTTAGTAAGGCTAGGTTGCAGTCAGGCCATAGAGGACTTCAAGGCCCGCAAGAAGATCCCAAACTTTGCTGAGACTGAAAACCAGTCCCTGAATACGAACCTGCAATCTCAAACATGAGGTGGCCCACTTTCTGCCTAAGTATCTGAGGGCAGGACTTTTCATCGTTACTCATGTCTTCCTTTTGATGCATTCTGGAAGCAGAATTGCCAGGTTAAACACAACACATCCATTTAAGTTTGAAGTCTAGAGAAACATGCAATCTTTTTGGGTAACAAAACCCCATACAGGTGTTGAACATAACGATATAAAAATGCCCATCCCCTTCTCTGAATTTCACATTTAACAGGGCGCTCTCTGTTTTCATTTGCTTGCTATGTAGTCGGTCACAACATCTAAACACTCCGCATAGTCTCTGTCGCACAAAGCTCCTCGGGACTCGCCTGCGACTGTCCCCAGCAGCCAACAGCCTCAGCCTAGCATCTTCTTCCTGCTCAAGCAGGGACTACGTTGAGATGAGGGCCACCGGTAAACCGCTCACTGACCTTCTACATTCCCACACATGTAACCTGATATGTTTACAATCATAGCCAAGCATGGTAGCTTACAAGTTGTGTGCTCCCAGAACTCGGAGGCTGGGGTAAGAGGACCGCTGGCGAGCAGGGCAGCAAGGGCAACATAGCCAGATCCTGTCTCAAAAAAATGATGAGGATGATGTTGACAGTAATGAACACAATTATAAATTTACAAAAAATCTAAATACAGAATTTAAGAGCTTAAATGTCAAGTATATAATTTAATTGCACTCAAAAGTATGACTTTGACTTCTGACAATAAGAGCCTACTTCCAGAAAAGTTAAGTAGAGGGGAAAGGCCTTTAAAATTAAGGAAACAACAGACCGAGAAAAATCAAATCCCAGTAAGCAAGACTGTAATCAAAACCACTAAAATGCCTTCTATTCCTTTACTTCCTTGTTTAATCTCAAACTCTACATATATTCTCCCGGCCCTTTTCAAGGACACTTTTTTCCTTTCACTCTTTTTTGTGTGCTTCATTTTTAGTTACATATGGGCTTTTCTCTGGTGAATTTCCAAAAGTCACCCCACCACTGTGCACACAAATCTGAAAAGGTGAACACCAGCATACCCAAGAGAACTGAGTGAATCTGGGCACCCTTTCTGAGCCCTCCCTAGACCCAACATGAAAATATATTGAACCTACCAGGTCACCAGGGTTGAGAGAAACAAGTTGATTCAAGAACATCTCTGTTTTAGATTTAAATTTATTTTTTTATAATTTATTCACTTTCCATCCCTATAATAGTGCCCTCCCTCGTCTCCTCCTGGTCACATCCTCCTTCCCTCCCTCTTTCCCCCATTTCCCTTCCCCTATTTCTCAGGAAGGGGAGCCCTCCTCCCCTACCATCTGACCCCAGCCTATCATATCTCATTAGGACTGCCTGCATCTGCTTCCTGTTTGGCTTGGCAATGCCCACCCCCACACACACACCAGGGGGAAGTGATCAAAGAACAGCCAACAGAGTCCATGTCAGAGACAGCCTTGCTCCCCTTCCTAGGGAACCCACATGCAGACTGAGATGCCTTAGCTACATCTGAGCAAGGGGTCTGGGTCCTCTCCGTGGATGGTCCTTGGTTGATACATCAGTCTCTGCAGGCCCCTATGGGCCCAGATTTGTTAGCTATGTTGGTCTGCTCCGGGTTTTTCTATTCCCCCGCTCTTTCCTATGACTCTGCCCAAAGTTTGTCTGTGAGTCTTACCATCTGCTTAGATCCCCTGTTGCATGAAGTCTTTCAGAGGCATCTATGGTAGGCTCCCATCCTCTTTTCTCTCTTCAGCTGCTTCCAGGGTCTATTCTATTTGCCCTTCTGAATGAGAATTAAGCATCCTTCCTGGGGTCCTCCTTGTTATTTAGCTTCCTTAGGTCTGTGGACTGTATTATGGTTATCCTCTATTATATGGCTAATGTCCACTTATAAGTGAGTATATACCATGCATGTCTTTCTGGTTCTGAGTTACCTTACTCAGGATGATCTTTTCTAGTTCCATCCACTTGCTTACAAATTTAATGATTTTCTTGTTTTTCATAGTTGAGTAGTATTCCATTGTGTAAATATACCACAATTTCTGTATCCATTCTTCTGTTGAGGGACACCCGGTTGTTCCCAGATTCTGAATGCTATGACTAAAACTGCTATGAACATAGTTGAGCAAATGTCCTTGTATTGTGGAGCATCTTTCAGGTATATGCCCAGGAGTGGTATAGCTGGGTCTTAAGGTAGCACTATTCCCTTATCCGAGAAAGTGCCAGATTGATTTCCAAAGTGGTTATACAAGTTTGCACTCCTATGAGCAATGGAGGAGTGTTCCCCTTTCTCCACACCTCTCCAGCATGTGCTGTCACTTGATGGGTGTAAGATGGAATCTCAGAGTCATTTTGATTTGCATTTCCCTGATGACTAAGGATGTTGAGCATTTCTTCAAATGTTTCTCCACCATTGATACTCCTCTGTTGAGAATTCTCTGTTTAGTTCTGTACCCCATTTTTTTTAATTGGATGACCTGGCTTATTGGAGTTTACTTTCTTGAGTTCTTTTTATATTTTGGATATTAGTCCTCTGTCAGATGTGGGGTTGGAGAAGATCTTTTCCCAGTCTGTAGGCTGTCATTGTAAGAACATCTTTTTGTTTTCCAGCCCAAATGACACTAAGGTTAAACCTCAGAGTGGAGTAAATGCCCCAGAGAAAACTGGAGTGTAATTCCTCCACAGACTATGGAGGGTTTCTCTCAGTTACCCCCTGCCCCAAATGTTTCCTTTAGTTTCCTCTTAAATTATGTCTTTGCCTCTTCCACTAACTCACAAGGCGGCAGTGTTACCAGCATCTCTGAAGGCATCTGTGTCGGGATCTTAATGATACAGGATGCTGTGTCCACTTCCCAACAGTTCTTCTCCTACAGTGGGACTGCTACTCCCTTTCCAAAGTTCATCAGGGCAAGGTCAAGGAAGATGCTCAGCATTTCGTTCTGTAGCAGGACAAGGGCCAGCTAAGTGTCTACAACAAGAGGCAGTCTTTCTCCCTCTGTGCATAGCATGCCAAATCTCCCACAGACATCATCACAACCCGGCAGTCACGAGTGAGTCTGTTCACAAGGAAAATATCAGGTCAAGCGACTGTCCAGTTCAGGTCAAGAGACTGTCCAGCTCATCCATCTCTTCAAATCAGCTTTTCACAAGATCTCCTCTGGGCTCTCCCCATGCATGAAATCCAAGTCACTGGAACTGAGAAGAGCACAGCTAGCCGCCAGGAGCTTGGACGAGTCGGGAGCTGCCAATCATGCTAAGACCTGTTGGGCGAGCTGATCAGGCCTCTGATTCCTCCAGCCTAAAATGCCTGCTGGTTTCTGTGATCCAGATAAGCACAGCTGTAATCTCCCCCACCCAGAACTCACTCGCAGACCACAGCTGTGCCATTCAGGTAGCACGCTCCCCTTGTTTGGATCTGTTTAACATTGTTAAATATACAGTCAGACCATCTGCGCGGTATTTTTTTTTAAATTGGAAATTACAACCATAACTTCATTTTTATATATCAATAAACTAAACAGCAAAATTTCAAAGGGATCCTTCTGCAACCAAGCGCTGAGGCAGAATGCCTGTCCCACGCCACACCACAGCCTAATTGCACGCTAATTGGACAAACGTGATTAAATATTTCAAGATCTTTACTAATTG